GAAGATAACCCATCTATAATTATAATATGCAATCGATTTGTCCTATTTATAATGAATGTTTTAACTCTTGTTGGATAAGTAGGTACTCAGAATAATACTGATCGGATGGACGTCCCAACTGGTTATTTTCGGATTAATTGGATACACTTTTCACATGGTAATGTCCAAATATTATGCGATTAACGTAATTTAGTGTCAAGGAATCATCTCTATAAATGGTAATGGTTTGAAAGTTTATTAAAACTTATATATAACTATATATAAAATAAATAAAATAAACTTAATTGTTTATGTATATTTACTAATATGATTAAGGATGTGTAATTTGTACACTTTAATTTTATTTTAATAATACGAATACAGGTAAATTATATCAATTTTGATTAGACATGATATGCATTCTATTTTTTTTCTTAATTGTTTTGATCTTTACCCGCAGTTCGCTATTCAGCATTTAAGTTGTTATTTGTAATTTTGTATTATTATTTTTTAATGATATAGGTATAAGTATAAAAATAAATTGCTTCATCATAAATATATATTTCTATAACACTCAGATATTTCTATAGATACGTTATTTAAAGCCTTAAAATAGAGGTGTTTACTTTGAAATTTATAATTTTTGTATCATATTATATAAGCATATATCAATTTTTTAACATATTAACACAGTTTATGTTAATGTTAAAAACATATAGTCCAATTTTGAATCATTTAATAATGTTATTGTAAAAAATGTATACATTTTACTTTATAGAAATAATAACGAATAAATAGACTAGATATAAATAAATCATATGAATTTTTTGATTGTTTCGTTTCAAAAAAATAAAATCTAGTTACTCTAACGATCCACCTTAGTATTACAACTATATAGTATATACCTACTTATCAATTTTACTTTAAAATCACGTGTTGTGCAATTAAAAAATGTTTCATTTTATTATAGGTGATGACTACTGACTGCCCGATTGGTATAATAATAGGTAGGTTAATCATTTGCAAACATATACAAATTTAATTCATAAATTAAATCAGTCACTAACATTTACCTCATTGATTTTTTTTTCAAATTATTCGTGTTGATTTTTTTTTTTTATTAGACTACCTACCTATCTATACTATCAAGATATTTTGTATACACCTATTTATACAGCTATGAAATAAAATAAAACTATTACAAAAGCTATATTTTTATTAAATATTATAGATTAAAATGTATGATTGTATTTTAATTTAATAAATTATATTGAAAGGATGTAAAACTTGCATGTTGATAATTTTCTTTGTGGAATTTAACAGCTCTTGTTTATTTTTTATCAATTTATTATTTTAATAATATATATTCTATTTGGTTGGTATGTAATATTGTAACACAAGCTAGTAACGATACAAAATTTAACAAAAGCAAACAAAATTTATTTAATTTTAATTAAAAATAATAATCATTTTAATAATTTCATAAAATCATGAAATATTTTAAAATCGGAATTACAATTGGCATGGCTGTTTCAAGTGCGATAATATCATGGTATACAAGAAGACCTTACCAAAATCATAATAACGTGAGTGATTGCTGGATTGGATATAATTATTATTATTGTAACGGTATATATAAAATAAGTGAATTATTACACAGGAAAATAGAGTCAACTCCATAAATCAACATTCCACAGTTTTTAAATAATTCAAATTCCTCGAAAACTATAACATTTTACAACACTATCATACTACTTATAATAATACTCAAGAATTTACCACACCAATGGAGATCGAAAATTCCCTATTTCATTTTTACCGAGTTGGCATTTTTAAATTTTTTAAATTATATAGAAAAAACATTTTTAAAAAATTAAAAATTGAATAAATTCTATGTAAAACATATACTTTTGTATTCGTCATAATTTAATCAGTTTTACTAACAACGGTGAAACTCGTTGTATGTGAATACCCTAGGTAGCTGAAAATCGTTTGAAGTGAATTTCCTTGGTCGGAAACAGAACTTTAGAATACAGTAGTTAGAAAAGTCTAGTAGGCAAAACCAGTGATAACAACGTTTGAGACAAAAGGACCAAATCGTTTAGATGTTCTTGTGTTAAATTTGATCTTAATGTATATTTTAGTAATTTCAATCTCGAAAACAATCTTTTCCCACCACAATTGGTGCATATATGAGTGTAAGATAACCGTAAAGTTTTTTTTTGCACTAGGAAAGCATTCCAAAACATTAAAATTTAAAATCATTGTATGTAAATTTGTAAATTTATTAAAAGTGTTACTATTAAAAATTTTAATTACAATCTAAAATTATTTCTCACTTCTTTTGTATGCATCAATTCTATATTGTAAATTTGTAAAGCGCTGTTTAATTTATGGATTATTATATATAATGTTTTAACTTTAAATAATTCTTTATCTATGCACACTAATCACTACAAATCTGTGCAACACACCATGAGTTGGTTTAATATTTAACATATTATATAATATAATAAAACTCGTTCCATATTTCCCCGTTGCATATCAATAAGCACAATATTTAATTTTCATGCTCATGCGAAATTATTTTTTTTTATTCATAGATATTTCTACCGAAACAAGACATAATATCTATATTATAATACTTGATTAAGTGCTTTATATTATATTATACGTAATTTTATGATATTGCAGGTATTGAGTATAAAGTTATAACGTACCCTTGTAACACTGAATAAATTTTGTCATAATATCTTATTAAATAATCTTCCAATACCATATTTTTATCAAATGTTATAATAATATATTATAAGTAGGTATAGGTTCTTATATTAAAACCAACACAATATATCCCGTGGCACACGTGCACAAATTCACACAATACTAATATTATATTATATGATATGCATCGTATGCATTCGTTCACCATGGTATTTATTATAACATTTATTAATATAATATAATAAATTGATATTATAATATACATAGGTACCTAAGCACGCGCACGGCCCCCTGCGACCATACAATGACGACAATGACGACGACCTCACGTTGACATTTTCTCGACCTATATCTTTTTCAATTTAACATTGAATTTAAAAGCAGCTTCGTTATATAATATGTTTGTATAAATATGATCCTTCTTAAAAAAATTATTTTTTATGTACACAGTAAAATATTTGCGAGTAAAACTTCAGGTGATTGACAATGCTGCAATTGTCCGGTCATTTCATCAAATGTCCGATCCCATTGGACAAAGTCTAAAGAATTATACTATTTTTTTTCTTTACCCAGCCTTAAGTTGGGAAATTCGTAAATTGCACAGTATTTAAGGACAGAAATAAATGAAAATAAAATTATTTCTATAATTTGTACTATAATTATTAGTATTAATCATCCATTAATTATACTAGGTACATGACTACATATATAATTACATTATTATATTTTATAACTATATAAGTAGTAATGATTGGTATTGCGTAATTTTATAA